CCGCTCCTGCGTCTGCAGCACGCTCGCCGAGTTCTCCCGCCAGTGCTCGCACGCCGGCGGCCAGCCCGGCACCTGGAGGACCGACGCGCTCTGCCGTAAGGGCCGGGGGACCGCGGGGCGCGCTCGGGGTGGCGCACGTGGAGCCGGCTCACGGGGCTGCCTTTGCCGTTCCAGCCAAGACCTGCCCCGGGAACATGATTTACCTGGAGAGCGGCTCGCCCTGCATGGACACCTGCTCACACCTGGAGGTCAGCAGCCTGTGCGAGGAGCACCGCATGGACGGCTGTTTCTGCCCAGAAGGTGCGAGCTTGGGGGTGCCGCAGGGCGGGACGAGGGGGTGCTGCCCTGATGCAGCCCACCCCGGCTCGTGCAGTGGACAAGCGGCCTTGTGCCTTGGGCCTCGGTTTCTCACCCGCATCGAGGGAAGAGCTTTGCTGGATGTGGGGATACTGATGGTACAGGACATACCCCCAGTCCCACCCTGACGTCAGGGGCAGGTCTGGGCAGAAGGGAAATAAATGCCAAAGACCCTCCCACATGGTGGCTTTGGGGAGGCTCTGAGAAGGGGATACATGGACAGAACACCTCCTGCTCCGCCCCCAGCCCTGAGCCCGGAGGCCCCTGGAAGGAGCTGGACTCTGAGGGGCTGGACTCTGAGGTGGCCTGGAGGCCAACCCCCCACGGGCAGACCCCTGACCCAGAGATTAGGTGGAAGGGTGTTGGCCCAAAGACCGGTGGTGCCTGTCGGTGGGAGGCCTAAAGGGCAGCTACACTGTGGGGACTCTGGCACTTTCCAAGGCCCGCCTATGGTAACGTCATGTCCCTGGCTGTCCCAGACACTGTATATGATGACGTCGCGGGCAGCGGCTGCATCCCTGTGAGCCAGTGTCACTGTAAGCTGCATGGACGCCTGCACGCACCAGGCCAGGAGGTCACCAACGACTGCGAGCACTGGTGAGTCTTGGGCCCTGGGCTTGGGGGCTGGGGCAGGCTGGGTGGCAGCTGAGCTCTAACCCTGTGCCCCGCTGCCCGGCAGCGTCTGCAACGCCGGCCGTTGGGTGTGCACAGACCTGCCGTGCCCTGGGACCTGCGCCCTGGAAGGTGGCTCGCACATCACCACCTTTGATGGGAAAAAGTTCACCTTCCATGGGGACTGCTACTATGTCCTGAGCAAGGTAGGCAGGCCCAAGGCCTGGGGTGGAGTGGAGCTGGGGGCTTGGCACCCAGACTGCCTGGGTCCCGGGGTGGGCAGGTGAACGGTCCCTGGAGAAGTGCCCGTGGGCTGAGATGGGTGTTGCCGCTCTCAGGCTGAATGACAGGCGGGCTTTCCCTTCCGAGCCACCGCCGGGCTCCTGGGGTGCCGGGGCTGCCTGCCCCTGGCCACCGGTCGCTACAACGTGCCTTCCCACACAGGGCGACCACAACGACTCCTACGCCCTCCTGGGCGAGCTGGCTCCCTGCGGCTCCACGGACAAGCAGACCTGCCTGAAGACGGTGGTGCTGCTGGCCGACGAGAGGAAGAACGTAGGTGCCCGCCCTCCCATCCCAGCACACCACGCGTCCTCGAGGCCCTTCTCAGCCCCATGTACCCGTGACCTTCCTGCAGGTGGTGGTCTTCAAGTCTGATGGCAGCGTGCTGCTGAATGAGCTGCAGGTCAACCTGCCCCACGTGACTGGTGAGTCCTGCTCCAGGATGGGGCCTGGGAGCCACTTCCAACTCAGCTGGGCCCAGGAGGTTGGTCACGGGGAGCGGGTGCCCTGTGGCATCTGGCGGACTCTACATCTTCGGGCCTCTGCTGAGGGGACAGTGGGAGGCTGTTGCCCTCCTGCTGAGGGCGTCCTGGGCGAGGCAGGGCGTGGGGAGCCCCGCTTCCTCACTGTGCTCCCTGCCTTGCAGCGAGCTTCTCCATCTTGCAACCTTCCTCCTACCACATCATCGTGAACACGGCCTATGGCTTGCGGCTGCAGGTGCAGCTGGTCCCTGTCATGCAGCTCTTTGCGACGCTGGAGCAGGACGCCCAGGGGCAGGTGCAGGGTGAGTGGCCCCACTCAGCTCGCCCTTGCCAAGGCCCCATGTGGGGCCTACCCGCTGCCAGCCTCGGCCCCTCCCCAACCCTGTCCTGGCCCCCCAGGCCTCTGCGGGAACTTCAATGGCTTGGAAAGCGATGACTTCAAGACAGCTAGTGGGCTGGTGGAGGCCACAGGAGCCAGCTTTGCCAACACTTGGAAGGCCCAGTCGAGCTGCCAGGACAAGCTGGACTGGCTGGATGACCCCTGCTCCCTCAACATCGAGAGCGGTGAGGCTCGGGCGCCACTGGATGCTGCTACCTGCAGCCTGACTGGGAGAGCTGACCCCCGGCCAGCGTGGCCTTTCGGGTCAGGGGGGTTCTGGTGGCACGTGGTGTGTGAGAGGTGGGTGGAGGTAAGAGGGCCCTCCACGCTGGACACCAGCCTGTCCGCCTGCTGCTTCCCGCTGTGCTGCTGGCTTATGATGGCCCATGGTGGCACCTGCCAAGCGACGTGACAGAAGGGACAGGCCAGCTAACTGCTGGGAGGTGGCTCTTGTCCAGGGGCTGCCTGGAGCCATGACAGCATGCCCTCCTACTTGCCACCCCACCACATCCGGGGATGCCTGGGCCCTTGGGGTCAAGAGAGGGAGGCAGTGGGCATCCTGCAACGGGGCCCTATCCTGCTTGGAGTTGCCCAGAGATTTGACCCAGGGGAAGAAGAGGCCTGGACTTGGGTCCACTCCAGCCTGGGTGACCAGAAAGTCAGACCCAGGGGACATGTGCAGGTGGTCCCAGCCCCTGCTGAGGTTCTGACCCCTCACTCCCCAGCCAACTATGCTGAGCACTGGTGCTCCCTCCTGAAGAGCACAGAGACCCCCTTTGGCAGGTGCCACTCAGCCGTGGACCCCACTGAGTATTACAAGGTGAGTGGGACCTGCATGCATGCCCACCCCCACCCACCTGATGGCGTGGACAGGTCCCCAGAGCCCTCCAGGTGTGCTGAGTGTGCATGTGTGTGTGTAAGCACGTGTCTGTGAGTGCCAGCACACATGCAGGCATGTGGACATGGGGGGCTGACGGCCATGTCCCAGCTCCCCACCTCACTGTCCGCTGCCTCGGTTTCCTGCCCAGAGGTGCAGATACGACACCTGCAACTGCGAGAACAACGAGGACTGCATGTGCGCGGCTCTGTCCTCCTATGCGCGCGCCTGTGCCACCAAGGGCGTCATGCTGTGGGGCTGGCGGGAGCGGGTCTGCAGTGAGTACCACCCCTGCTGGCTGCATCCTGGGACAGGGCTGGGGGCCCTGAGCATGGGCGGTCCAGAAGAGGCATCAGCCCCCTGCAGCCAGCAACCCACCTCCCAGCTCCATCTGCCAGGGGCGGCGGGAACCCCGCCCCTCCAGTTCTCTGCTTGCAGCGAGGGGCTGTGATGTTGCAAGGACCAGGGGCCTGTGATGGGCCTGGAGCTGTGGCAGCCAAGTTCAGGGCAGGGGTCTCAGGGTGGCTGGGTGGGCATCTGCCATCCTGGCAGAATGAGGGCTCAGGGACAACCTACAGGGATAGGAGCTGGGGGTCCGGTCTCTCCCGCCCCTCACGCTGGCCCCCATGTCTCCTTTGCAGACGAGGACGTGAACTCCTGCCCTAACTCGCAGATCTTCCTGTACAACCTGACCACCTGCCAGCGGACGTGCCGCTCACTGTCCGAGGCTGACACTCACTGCCTCAAGGGCTTCGCGCCTGTGGACGGCTGCGGCTGCCCCGACCACACCTTCCAGGACGAGAAGGGCCGCTGTGTGCCCCTCGCCAAGTGCTCCTGCTACCACCAAGGCCTCTACCTGGAGGCGGGGGACGTGGTCTTGAGGCAGGAGGAGCGATGGTGGGTGGCATGAACTGGGAAGGGAGGGCACAGGGTGGGACGAGGGGGGCTCCTTCTGAATCTGCTCCAAGCTGAGGACGGAGAGGCTCTACCTGGTGGAGCTGAGAACCCGAGGGCTACAGAGGTGCCTGGGGAGGGGGATTCTGAGGGTGGCCAGGCTTGCATCCGTCCCCAGGCAGTGGTGGCTTCCCATGAATCTGCGTGGGGATTGTGCCCGGGCGCCGTTCACCTCCCAGCCCTCTCTTGTAGCGTTTGCCAGAACGGGAGGCTGCATTGCCAGCTGGTCAAGCTCCTGGGCCAGAGTAAGTGGCTGCTGCCCTGTGTGTGGACCCCGACGCCAGGCCTGCTCCCCTACGCCCTCCCCTACCCCCTGAGCCCCCCACATTCAGCTTGAGCTAAGGCAGCCCTGTCCGTCCTGCAGGCTGTGTGGACCCAAAGATCCACGTGGACTGCAACAATCTGACCGCGCTGGCTGTCTTGAAACCCCGCCCCATGAGCTGCCAGACGCTGGCTGCCGGCTATGTGCGTGCTGGGCAGGGCCACTGTGGGTGGGCTGGGCGGGGGTCTGGCTGTCTAAGCCTGTTACAGAGGCTCCCATACTGTACCCCACCCTAGGGTCTGGGGGCCAAATACTGTGGCCACATGGGCCTTGACACCTGTTGCTGGGAGGGAAGGGGCACTCTGTGTGCCCACTGGGCACAGGGGCCAGTTTAGGGGCCCTTGGCAGGCAACCCTCACCTGCCTCTCTGCTCAGTGGTGGGCCTGAGGGGAGGGGGTCCTAGGGCCTGACGACGGAGGGAGGTCAGGGGTCCCAGGACACCGGGGGAGTCTGAGCTGTCAGACCTTCCCTGGCCCGGCATGTAATCCTGACTTCCAGGGAGGGCTTCAGCCTCACCTGTCCGCTCCCTGAACCCCACTCTCTGACTGCCCCCAGTACCATACGGAGTGTATCAGCGGCTGCGTGTGTCCTGACGGGCTGCTGGATGACGGCCGAGGCGGCTGTGTGGTGGAGGAAGAGTGCCCGTGTGTGCACTACAAAGACCTGTACTCCCCAGGGGACAAGATCCAGGTGGACTGCAACACCTGGTGAGCCAGCCTGGCCCTGGCTCCTGCCCACGGCCCGCAGGGTGGTCTCTTGTCTGCCACTGGCCTGGAGCAGGGGTGTGGGTGCATGTTTGCGATGGCACTTTTGGGGCTGCTGTGGGCACTGGCAGGTGTCATGTGTGGGCTTCCTGGGGAGCTGTCTGCGTGGCGCCTGGGGTCTCGGCCAGGCCGCCATCTGGGCAGGTGCCTTCAGGCTCCTCTCTGATCTCTGCAGCACCTGCCAGAAAGGACACTGGGTTTGCACCCAGTCCATGTGCCATGGCACCTGTTCCATCTATGGGAGTGGCCACTACATCACCTTTGACGGGAAATACTATGACTTCGACGGGCACTGCTCCTACGTGGCTGTTCAGGTGAGGCTGTGGAACCTCCAGGGCCAGGCCTGTGCCTGCTCTGCTCAGCCCAGCAGGGAAGCCCTGAGATGTGGGAGACCTGGGAGTGGGAGGGGCTGGCTCTTCCTCTGCCCAAGACCCCACCCCGTCAGGAGGATTTGGGTTTCTAGCAGTGAGTGGGGTGGGCATGATGAAGCCCCCCTCTCCACCCTCCAGTTCCATGATCCTCCTGCAGGTACACAGAGGAGGGGGTAGGTTTGACAGACCAGCCATGGGGGATGAGGGGCCTGTGTGTGTGTGTGTGGTGGGTGGGGGGAGTTATGACAGGCCAAGGGAGGGCCAGAGGCAGGAGCTTTACCAATCCAAATCCCCCACACCCCGTAGTTATCCCAGCCACCACAGGAGGGGCTGAGGCTCTGTGAGGTCTGAAGTGGGGCTCAGCCTCCCCGACTGGAAGCGGCAGAGCCAAGGTCTGCTCAGTGGCTGCCCCAGCCCCACCAGCTGGGGTGGGTGCACCCCAGGGACCTGTGGCCCAGCGTCCAGCTGACGCTGTCCTGTTGGCCCCCAGGATTACTGCGGCCAGAACTCCTCGCTGGGCACCTTCAGTGTCATCACTGAGAATGTCCCCTGCGGCACCACTGGTGTCACCTGCTCCAAGGCCATCAAGATCTTCCTGGGGGTGAGTGCTGCCTGCCCCTGGGGATGCGTGAGCCCTCGGGGACACCCGGACCTGGCCAGTGACCGGCCTTCTCCTCCCTCCGAGCAGAGGACGGAGCTGAAATTGGAAGACAAGCACCGCATAGTGATCCAGCGCGACGAGGGCCACCATGTGGCCTACACCACGCGGGAGGTGGGCCAGTACCTGGTGGTCGAGGCCAGCATCGGCGTCATTGTCATCTGGGACAAGAGGACCACCGTCTTCATCAAGCTGGCCCCCTCCTACCAGGTGGGCTGCCCCTGCCCAACCCGGCCTCTCCGGGCCGGCCCCCTCTCACGTGCCCGGCCGGGCCTCCCAGGCACGCGGGGGAGCGAGCCCCCTGCCCTCCCTCCCACCCGAGCGCCCCGGGGATGCTTGTCTCGTGCAGGGCACGGTGTGCGGCCTGTGCGGGAACTTCGACTACCGCTCCAACAACGACTTCACCACGCGGGACCACATGGTGGTGAGCAGCGAGCTGGACTTCGGGAACAGCTGGAAGGAGGCCCCCACCTGCCCGGACGTGAGCACCACCCCCGAGCCCTGCAGCCTGAACCCGCACCGGCGCGCCTGGGCCGAGAAGCAGTGCAGCATCCTCAAGAGCTCGGTGTTCGGCGCCTGCCACAGCAAGGTGGGCGGGGCCGGGGCGGGGCGCTACGGGGGTGCGGCTGGAGGCGGGGCCGGCCGTGGGCGGAGCAGGGCAGTGGGCGGGGCCGGGCCCGAGTCCGCGCATGTGCAGAGCAGGGCGTTAGGCGGGCTGGGGCGGGACCGGGGCCGGGGCCG